ACAAAAGTCATGATACAGGCAAGCAGATGGTAGGAGACCATACAAAAAGTCATGATACAGGCAAGCAGATGGTAGGAGACTCTACAGAAAGTCATGATACAGGCAAGCAGATGGTAGGAGACTCTACAGAAAGGCATGATACAGGAAAACAGATGTTTGGGGACTCTACAGAAAGTCATGATACAGATAAACAGAATATTGTCAGATGTAAAGAAAGTCATGACAAAAACAAAGAATATGACTGTAGAAAGAGTTGTGGCACAGGAGCAGATAAAAAAAGCAAGAGTTGTACTATAGAATCTAGATGAGTTTTTCACATACTTATTATACCAATGAACAGAAAGTAAGCAGTAGTACTGACAACCCCTCACAGAGAAAAAAACAGTTTCCTATTGAATGAGAAACTTGGGTCATTGTCTTAGAAAATATTGCAACAGTAAGTGTTTATATCTGGTAAATTATTGAAACTTAAACTAATGTTTGTTAGTTGTGAGGCTCTTTACCAAAATGTTCATTTCCACGTGTCGCTCAACCAAGAACACTAACAAAGTATCCTATTCTGTTAAAAGTGTATTGTAACTCACTATTTCAAGTGCCCTTTTAAAAGTATGTTTTAGTACAAACTGTCTGAACTACCTTTGTTCTGTTTCACTAACCACTTTTAAAAGTATATTTTAGTACAAACTGTCTGAACTACCTTTGTTCTGTTTCACAAACCACTTTTAAAAGTATATTTTAGTACAAACTTTATCAACTACCCTTACGTTCTTTCACATACCCTTTTTGCAAGTGTACTCTCGTACTTGTTTATTTAACTACCATTGTTCTGTGTCTCTTACTATTTTAAAAGGTATTTTCTGGTGCTAACCATTTCACCTACCTGTTTCCTTTTCAAAATATGTTTTATGATAATATTTGTCTTGTTTCAATTTTCTGAGAAATCTGTTTCATTTTGAGTTCAAGATCTTACTTTTGGAAGTAATGTTAGAGAGTGTGAGCTCATGACCAACTTGTTAACATTAGAGTTGAAGAGTAAGTTATGCTGTGGTTAGTCAGAAATATTGAAGACATAAAAAGTAAATGTTGATAAAATATGAATATATCTAGTCATTGAAGTTATGGAACTAAAGTTTATAATACAAACCACGGATACTTTAGTAACCTGAAACAATGGTTAATAGATGGTGAATTGAGGTTTGAAGGCTGGTATTTTTTGTTTTTATTTTTCAACTCTCAGATACTCTAGAGCAGAACACTTTATATAATATCTTTTTGTGGAACTACAGTGTATGGAATAATATATACTTAGGAGAACATGGGTATCTTTGTGGAACTACAGTGTATGATATAACATATACTTAGGAGAACATGGGTATCTTTGTGGAACTACAGTGTATGATATATACTTAGGAGAACATGGGTATCTTTGTGGAACTACAGTGTATGATATAACATATACTTAGGAGAACATAGGTATCTTTGTGGAACTACAGTGTATGATATATACTTAGGAGAACATGAGTATCTTTGTGGAACTACAGTGTATGATATAACATATACTTAGGAGAACATGGGTATCTTTGTGGAACTACAGTGTATGATATATACTTAGGAGAACATGAGTATCTTTGTGGAACTACAGTGTATGATATAACATATACTTAGGAGAACATGGGTATCTTTGTGGAACTACAGTGTATGATATAACATATACGTAGGAGAACATGGGAGTATTTTGACCATTTGATAAAACAGTGTTTTAATGAGTCTAATAACTTGATGCCATGTCAGTTATAACATACTAAAATAGAATATTTTCACTTCAAGACATTTTGTTACATTGAAATTGTGTACCCTCTGTTTTGATAATAAAACAGTATTTTCACCTGATAATTTTGTTACATTCCTATTTATACACACACACACACACACACACACACACACACACACACACACAC